CCCCATCCCCCTTGCCCCGTGGACGTAGGCAACTTGCCGAACCACGTTAAAATTGGTGTTTTGTTTGTGCATTAATTTTGGTTAGTTTTGGCCCTCTTTGATCGGCGTTTGGTTTGGTTCCTCGACACGGTTTTCAACAACAATTGGTATTAGAGCACAACAATTGGTATCAGAGCGAGATTATTTTGTTCCTTCGAGTGATTTGTAATCTCAGTTTGTACTCTTTCTCTATTAGTGAAAACCCCATCCCCCCTTGCCCCGTGGACGTAGGCAACTTGCCGAACCACGTTAAAATTGGTGTTTTGTTTGTGCATTGATATTTGGTTCGTTTGGCTCTCTTGGATTGGCGTTTGGTTTGGTTCCTCGACACAGCTTCAGTCACAACAAGTGGTATCAGAGCTCGGGCAACGCTTGGGCTATTTGGAGGAGTAGATCGCTTTGGAAGTTCATCTAGGGCTTCGTTTGGTGATAAAGGTGGGATCTTTTTAGTAAAAATCTCGTCTTTTTCAGTTTGGATCTATTTCTCGTTTGTTTCCGCATTGGTTTGGTGGTGCTTTGAGGATTATGGCCGAGAAAGAAGGAGTTGTGGGCAGTACTTCCGGCGTGAAGACCGTCCAAAGCTTGAATATCCACTCGATGAAGATTGACGTGGAAAAGTTCAATGGCACAAACAATTTTGGACTTTGGCGATGCGAAGTCATGGATGCGCTCAACGCGCAAAATTTGGAAGATACGTTGGAGTTGGACGGGAAACCGGACAATATTGATGAGAAGGTTTGGAAAAAGATGAATCGAACGGCGTGTGGTGTGATTAGGTCTTGTCTCACTCAAGATCTAAAGTATGATGTGATCAATGAGACTTCTGCAAAGAAGATTTGGGAGATCCTTGAGAGCAAGTATTTGACCAAGAGTGTGGAGAATCGCTTGCATTTGAAGAGGAGGCTTTACCGCTTCCAGTTGAAGAAAGGAACCTCCATTGGTGATCACATGAACCACTACACGAAGCTTCTTGCGGATTTGACGAATGTAGATGTGGTGATTGAAGATGAGGACAAGGCGTTGTTGTTGTTGAGTTCCTTGCCCGACGAGGAATATGAGACCTTCGTTCTTACTCTTATTAATGGGAAGGCATCTCTTTCGTATAGTGAGGTCACCGCTGCACTTGTGAATTATCAGCTTCGAAAGAAGGATAAGGAGACTTCGTTTGAGCCGGTAGCGGGGGCGTTGGTCGCAAGAGCAAAGGGTCCAAACCGTAGTGGGAGGTCGCAGTCTAGAGGGGCACATCTTGGAGTTCGTAAGAATCAATGTGCCTTTTGCAAAGAAGATGGACATTGGAAAGCCGATTGCCCAAAGTTAGTTGATCGAGCCGGGAAGAATAAGGGAAAAGCTATTCAAGCTTCAGAGGCGAATGTTGTCAAGGCTAGTGGCAACGATTCAGATTCGGATTCTTCGGGCTACTCGTTATCTGCACTGCCGTCAGTTTGTGTTGCCTACTCTACAGAGTGGATATTGGATTCGGGTGCTACATACCACATTTGCCCTAGGAGGGATTGGTTCTCCAGCTTTCAGGAGTTGGAAAGAGGGGATTTCGTGCTCATGGGGAATGATCACAAATGCTCTATTGGTGGTATTGGTACTGTTCGGATCAGGATGAGTGACGGGGTGATTCGGGAGTTGGTTGGAGTGAGGTTCGTTCCTCAGTTGAAGAAGAACATCATTTCACTTGGAGCTTTGGAGGCAGCTGGCTATAGGGTGACCTTGGCGGATGCACGCTTGAAGGTTACATTTGGGTCCATGATTGTGATGAAGGGCGTCAGAAGAAGAAATTTGTATTATTTGCACGGAAGCACGGTGATTGATAGGGAAATGACGACTTCATCAGATTCGGCTAGACTGTGGCATTGTTTGGTGCTGGGGTATATGATTGGTAATACCGTGCATTGGTTGTTGAGGAGTGCTATGACCTGCAGATTGAAGTCCTGTGAGCACATTAGGATGAGCGAGACCGTGGTGGAGTTTGGCACTTCTATCCATCGAGCGAGGGGTCTTTTTGGTTGATCAGGTCGTTTGGATATCGCAGCAGGTGGAGGGTGATGCTACTTCACGTTGGGTGGAACTTATTCCACTACTCCAGATCATACTGCGTCATTTGGGATTCCAGCTGAGGTGACACAGGTTGGGGATCATTTGATTTCGGATGCAGATGATGGATTGGTTTTGGATTCGGTTGCAGCTGGTGGACATGATTTGGATACGGCCATTGGTTCACCTCATATGGAGGTGTTTGATTTGTATCAGTTTGGGGCCGCTATTAGTTGCAGATCCGTTGGCGATATTGGGGAAGAGTTGCAGACTTTTCTATTTGTTTGAGGGCCTTTGGAGGCTATTTGGGTGAACTATGTGAAGGCTTGATTCCTTGGGCAAGAGGATACGTAGGCAGTCAGTTTTGATGCAGCCGATTTGGTGAGTAGATACCGACGTTTGGGTGAGTGTTCGCACTCCCGTTTGGGTCTCGACTTGTGTGGATGGAGTCCGTTGTCATGAGTCCGTTGCCGTGGCGTACTGGATGCAACAAGTGAGGCATTTGTTTTGGTTGGTGTCGGCTCAGTGTTGGGAACACTTCGCCGAGGTGGAGAATTGTGAAAACGGCGAAGGAATTGTGAAAAACGTGAAGAATAACCCAAAATGCAATTTGCCGAACCACGTAAAATTGGTTGTATCGCTTTTGTGTGATTTGTAATAGATTTTTAGGATCCCTCGACAAGTCAGTCCTAGAACTGATGAGAGGAAGAGCCGATTGTGAAAACGGCGAAGGAATTGTGAAAAACGTGAAGAATAACCCAAAACAGACTCCACCACACCCTGGTGTGGTGTCTGCCATGGGTGTGGTAGAATCTGTCCTGCACCACACCCTCTGCCACACCCACGGTGCAGGGTGTGGCAGAATCTGTCCTGCACCACACCCTCTGCCACACCCATGGTGCAGGGTGTGGCAGACTCGTTTTTAGAATCCCAATCAGTTTGGGATTGTGTTTTGCTATAAATAGAGACACGTTTTTTAGGGTTTCCTAGGCTTGGTTTAGGCTTTGATTAAGCATTGATTGGGGGCTATTTGGAGCACAGAAAAGAGGTATTTTCTGAGCTATTTGTTTAGGGTTTTATTTGGAGAGATTAAGAGTTTTGTTGGTGAGATTAGTTTGTTCCTTCGAGTGATTTGTAATCTCAGTTTGTACTCTTTCTCTATTAGTGAAAACCCCATCCCCCCTTGCCCCGTGGACGTAGGCAACTTGCCGAACCACGTTAAAATTGGTGTTTTGTTTGTGCATTGATATTTGGTTCGTTTGGCTCTCTTGGATTGGCGTTTGGTTTGGTTCCTCGACACAGCTTCAGTCACAACAATGTTAACACCAAATGTGCCGCATTAGATTCTAGATGTGCCACATTAGATGCAAGTTCTTGAGGGGGATGTTAACACCAAATGTGCCGCATTAGATTCTAGATGTGCCACATTAGATGCAAGTTCTTGAGGGGGATCTTAACACCAAATGTGCCGCATTAGATCCTGGTGGGTGTTCCTACCACATTAGATGAAAGGTTTTGAGGGTGCATTTGGAGCAAGTCCGAACTTCATCTGCATTTAATGGCTCAAGATCCTCATTTAGGATGTCAGCTTCTCCAATTTAAATCCTTTTATTCATATATAAGTTGTTTTTTGGTTCCCTTGAAATCCTACTTTTTTTTAATTGTTGCGAAAACATGATAGTTGATTATTTTGGAAATTTTCTTCTATAAGTGCCTACATGGTTTTGAGTGATACACGAAAACCGTAAACTTGAGAACATGATATACGACTTAGAAAAGTTGTATTTATTAATAGAAAAATAAACCTCTAAATAAATTTCTTAAATAAGAATGTTTAAGAGGGACATCTGAAAAAACATGGTTGACTTCTATTTTGTACAAAACTTGGAGGTAGGGATAATATTTTGTCAAACTTTGATGATTCTACTGTCACAACAAATGTTTGGTTGATGACGCTAGAGTTTTTGTTGTTAACTATAAAAAATATAAATTATTTCAATCATTGTTGCACTTTTTCAGAAAAATTATGTTCAACTTAAAAGTGTACATGACAATTAGATAAGAATATAAATGATCTACGACGCTTTCTTTATATTTGGTTTCATTTGTTCATCTTTATTTAAATTAATTTTTTCATATTTTTAGGGTTTTTTTGCAGGCCTGAATTCGACATAAAATTCATTGGATTCACTCAATTTGGATCCATTCTTTTTTCCTCTTCCTCTTTTTTAAGATGAGCTCTCCTTTCACAGAACTAATCTAAATCAGAAATTTTAGTTAACAAAGTTTCCGTTTTTATATGTGAGTTACTGGTAATTATATGTCATACTATTTAAATTTTTAGGCTTGGTTTGATAGGACGGAAGCGAGGAGAGGGAGGGACAAAAATAATATTTTCTTTTGATGAAAAGTTTTTAGAGGAGGAGGTAGAGCGAGGGGAGGGGACGGGAGGGAGAGGATACCACAAAATGAACTAAGATGCTAAAAAGAAGAATCTCTTTAAATTAGGAGGATTTAAGAGGAGAGAAAATAAACTATAAAAACATACTTCACTCCTCCTAAAGGGACGTCCTTCCATACGGCTCATTGCACCTCCCTTCAGCTCACCATCCATCCTCAAAGTCCGTGCACCTCAGGTGTCTTGAACTAGTATTTACAAACGGAAAATGATAGAGGCATACCCTCAACCACACCTCCAACCACACCCCCCTCTCTCATTTGTTACAGTGCACCGGGCTCCACATAAGTCCACATAAGATTTTAAATTTTTAAAATCTTATGTGAAGCCTGGTGCACTGTAACAAATGAGAGAGAATGGTGTGGTTGGAGGTGTGGTTGAGGGTGTGCCCTAGTGCCACCCTTTACAAACAAGTTATACCCTGCGGTCTAAGCGCATAAAACCCAATATAAATACCGACCTTCAACCCTTTCGTTTTCCCTCTCCCCTCAAAAGCCCTAGCCCTAGGAATGGCGGACTCCGATCTAGACGTCGAATCAAATCACCGAACGAAATCAGAAAGGAGAAGAAAGAACAAGAGATCCCTCAACGTCGAGACGTCATATCTCGCCGACAATCCGGACCGAATCGCCCCCGTCGTCGGCTACTTTTCCTCAGGCTACAACCCCTGCGATTCTCAAGAACCCCCTGAGGTTAGGGTACTTAGGAACAGGAATCATCGATCGAGCCGATTGGACCTCGTCGTGAAGCCCAAGGAGTCAAGTGTTGAGTTTGTGGGCAGGAGTTACGAAGGAGAAGCTGCAGTTCATCAGCCGTGTCATTATGCGCTTGGGATTCTTGATAAGGACTCTCAGACCCTAAAAGTTGTCCCAATTGCTGCTAACAAGGTAAAAGTCCTTTTTTTTTACGAATTGCTCATGTTTAACTTGCTCATTGATGTTAAGCTCCTCGGTTGATGTTAAAGATGCAAGATTATTTGCTGAAATGTATCAATTTTCAAGGATTTTGAAAGTTTGGTGATGGATGAAATTTTGTAATGCATGTGACTAACTTTGTGGAAAATGTTGTTAGCAAGGTAAAATGTTCTTCAAAAAGTATTCACGCTATTTGTTTAACTTGATCAGCGGCGTTAAGTGATCCCAGATAATTGTTAAAGATACCTAATTTTGCTGAAATAAGTCAATTTTTGTGTAGCCAAGTGAAATAAGGACTTAAAATGTTTAAAAGGGGTGAGGTTTTGGTATTTATGAGGTTCCAAGCCTTCAATCTAGTTTATCAACTATGGTTTAGTTTTCCAAACTGAATTTTGATGTACCTCATTTGTTAACCATTTTGGGAGGCGAAGTCTATTAATACCCTAGTGTGTAGTGCAGGCATCGAAAATTGCTTATAGGTCTCCACGAACAACTTAGTGTTAAGGAACGACGATGAACGTCACTATCCGGTCCACAGTAGTTCGATTGATGTCGGTGAACGCTTGAAGTGCATCGACGAACTACGTGGACTAACAGAATCTCGGAATAACGAAGGTACAGGCTAATCGGAGCCCCGCGATGTTTACAAAAAGAACAATGCCCTTCGTGTTTCATTCACTCTACAGATGATCCAACCATCGGAGCTGATAGAACTCCTTGTCGGCTTTCCAACGCACTTCGAATCACTCAAATCCGAGTTCGGACGAAGAATTTACAGCGAAAAACAAACTTATACACCATAACGGAGTGTTTCGGACCAACGAGACACCATAAGGTGTCTCGGCCAAGGCCGAGACACCCTAGGGTGTCTCGGATCAAGGGGAGACACCCTAGGGTGTCTCGGATCAAGTGGAGACACCCTGGGGTGTCTCCAACGCAGATTTGGGCTTTTAGGTGGTTTTAACCGCTCCAAACTCCCCCGAGCCTATAAATACAAGTCTCAGGCCCTCATTTTTCAAGATCTGGAATTTTGGAGAATTGGCGAAGCCCTGTCGAACTGAGGAGTGATCGAGTTCTTCAACACAAGAGAACGAAAGTCGTCAGATCTACATCACCCGCATCCAATCCTTAGTATTATCCCGTTGTGGTAATTCTAACAAGAGCAATTATCTCGCTTTTTTCGAGATAAGCGCTTCTGTTTCTAGATCTCCTCGCGGATCGACGAAGCTCTGGACCTGATCTGATTGCCAGATAGTCCACGAATATCGACATCTCCGTCACAGGCTAAAGACCCACGCAAGCAAGAGACGACGAACGGATCTTGTGTTTATTTTCAAGAAAGTTGTAATCTTTTATTCTTTTGTTGTTTGAATTCATTTGTAACGCTTAAAGTTTAATGAAATCAATGACTAAGGTAACTTTCGACGAAAACAAACTGGCGACCACAGTGGAGACACCCTAGGGGTGTCTCCAACGCAGATTTGGGCCTTTAGGTGGTTTTAACCGCTCCAAACTCCCCCGAGCCTATAAATACAAGCCTCAGGCCCTCATTTTTGAAGATCTGAAATTTTGGGAGATTAGGCGAAGCCCTGCCGGATTGAAGACTGAAGGTGCACGGATTTCAGAGAGGAGGAGAGATCGGATCGAGTTCTTCAACGCAAGAGAGAGAGATTCTTCAGATCTGCAGTTCCCCGGGTTCGTTCCTTAAGATTATCCCGTTGCGGTAATCTTAAGAAGAGTGATTATCTCGCTTCGCCGAGATAAGAGCTACGGTTTCTCGATCCCTTCGCGGATAGACGAAGCTCTGCCCAATTTTTCAGCAATCAGATCTGATCGACGGTGGTCCACGGATAAACCCCGGCACAGGCAAAGATCCTACGCAAGCAGAAGACCGATAAATGATCTCTGCGTTTGTTTGATAAAGTTGTAAATTTTTTTGTTTTCATTGTGTAAAAGTCTTATAAAAAGACTGATTTTTGTATTCGTTGTAAACGTCTGAAGTTTGTAATGAATCTCGCAATGAAACAAGCAACTTTCTCCGCAAACATGTAGCTAAACTTTCTGAGACCCAGAATGTGTGTTACCAGAATCTAGGCTTCATGGCAAAATGTTTCCCAAGCAAGCATCTCCTCTACAGCTAGAGTTCTGATTAAAGGTTTTCTTTGCTTTCTTCTTGAGACAAAACTTCAAGATTGTGCCCATCATAGTCAACCAGGTTCAGAGTTCTATTATGAAAATATTTACTGAAGATTTTTGCAAAGAGGTTATCTATTGTGCTTACTAAGTGTTGTTAAGACACAAGCTTCGTTAATGAAACACAGTTTTCCATATTCAGGTGAAATGGAGATTTAGGATGTTTGAGTGTGTGAGAAACTATGCTCTTTATGAGGTTTTATCTTTCACTGTTTTTCTATCCAGTTGAGAAATTATATTGTTTTTATCTGGCTTGTCCGCTGATTTTTTTGCAATTTTTCTCACTTGCTACCTTTGCAGACTACTTTCCTCCCTTCTATGTATTGCTTCAGCTGTATTGGTTGTACCATTTATGGTTTTACACTGTATAACACATGCATATACTACTCTAACAGTACTCTGTCTAATGAATTAACTACATGGATGTAAAATTTAATTTTTTCGGACCTTTGTTGATAGAATTTGTATCTGCATATGTGTATAATCCTTAGTTTTATTTTCACTTTTCTTGTCAGTGAAATAAGTCTTTATCTATTTTTATAAAAATGTATATAAACTGTTTCTTATGGTTCTACCACTTTTCTAGCAAATAATTCTTATGTTCAGATGTAAAATTGTGACTTCACCGTGGTAACATTACATTGCTAATAAATGGGCTGTGATGGAATTTGTTTCCTTGCCTGTCTTGTTACCCGTCAATCTGAAATTGTGGTACTCTTTATTTTTAATTTGCAGGACATGCTCACCTTTAGTTTGTTGCCATTAATTCACTTGCACACATATGTTGGTGTGTGAATACATGCAGTAGTTTGGGTTTATACTGCGCGCCTGCGAAGTTTGATGTTACTGGCATGCATATTCTATCATACTTTGTTCCATGGAGTTATAGTTGGATTCAAAGATATTATCAATTGTTCATGAATGAATCTCAAGAACCTTACAAATTAAGATCTGTTCTTAAAATTAGAGCCCATTCTTTCATGCCATGAAGTAAACTTCTTGGCAACTTGCTTGAATATTTCTTGTTTTTGGATATGATTAAAATAACTATTTCCATTGAATTTTGTTTGGAGTTTGCAATTCTTTGCATTATAGTGTATTCATCAAATTTTTACAATGTTCGCACAAAATTCTTAAGAGTTTTGATATTGTAATATTATTTTCAAAAAGCATGTAACATATCATACGTGGAATTTCAAAGATGATTTGCTTATGTAAGATACCATTGCAGATATTTAGGTTGGAACCAAGAGTAATGAAGAGCCCATCTGTTGAAGAGGCTTCTGAAGTGTTAGAGGGGAGAGTTGATGATGGAAACACAAGGCGGAAGATTTCAGATCTCACAAGTCTTTATGGAACTAAGAAGCAAAGGAACATGGTACGGTACAGCCTAATTGTATATATAATATTAGCTATTCCATGTAAGAAGTATCAATGGAAATTTTATACATCACAATTAACAGGGATCATCTTTTCTTCACCTTATACTTGAAATTTTCTACGCCTGATTCTAGTGAAAGCATGGACAAATTTTCTTTTGTTATCGCTTTGCTTTCATGTTGCCTGTGTTCCTAGAAATGTCATCATACTATGAACATCAGCGTTTCTGCTTGTACTGATGTAGAAAGCAACTTCCCTGGTAATCAGGGTCATCATGCATCGTCTTCAAGAACAATTTGAACTTTTTAATGTTCGGCTTGCTCCTATTTTACAAACCTTGCCCCCGTTGACTACGTGAATTTAGGTTTTTTTCAAGTACCAGTGCGGCTGGCCTGCCATTGATTTTGCATGTGCCTTGCACATGCTTGATGTGAATCTCCGTTTTTTCTGTGCTTCTATACAAATATTATTCCTCTTTCTGTTCTTCCACTCTTTAACCTTGGGATGCTCTATGCAAGTTGATGAGATGAAATATGAGATCTCTTATTAGCATTCGCTGGCCTGTTATCTTCTAATATAAAACATGGGTGCCGAGTTTGTGTAAGAGTAAGATGGGTTTGACATGTTTTTAAGCTTTTAAACTCTGGATTTATCCTCTCTATGTTGCATCTTGAAAAATTATTGGGGCCTTAAAACTTGGGATGGTCTGCTCTATATAGTTCATAACGTTTAATTGTATTCCTTCTCAAAGTGCTTGCTGTACCACATGCCTGTCAAAAATGGTTCTAAAGCTGGCTGTGATTTTAACCTTTGAAGATTCTGTATCAATATAGTGACATTGTCTAGAATATCATGCTTATTCTGTGTTCTAATTCACTAACTTGTTGGTTGATGAAATGTTTTCTTTGTGCAGGACAAAAAATTGAGATTGCTGGCACAACAAACAAATGATCCCTCAGCTCGAGAAAATCTTCCAGATGAAATGCTTAATGTTGACATGAATGATGAGGCACTTAAAGACACCAAAGCAACCATTGGTCCAAATATTCCACCTCATGATCTTTCTGCTGTGACTCCTGAGAAAGCATATCTGTTGGATGAGATTATTCAAAAAGGAGAACGGGATTATCTCTTCGACATTCTAGACCTTTTGAATTCTGGCATTGGTGAAAAACCCAAGTACTGGGAAGAAAATTATTATCCAAGTTTTGTTGTCAATCGGATTCCCAAGCTAAAGGAGGTTCAGGTATATTGCATTGACCAGCACAATATTATCTGCCTTTATTCTTTATTACTCTATCTAGTTGGTTCAGGTTACTCCAATTATCTGATTGTAAGTCTGCAATTTTGTACAATCATCTATATTCAAGAAGTTATCAGATAAATCTACGTGCTCGCACAAACTTGCGTTGACTTCTTCTTGGACCAAATTTACTAGAACTAGAATTAAGAACCATGTTTTATATCCAACCTTTTCCTCTTTGTGGCCTATTTGCACTTTTACACAAACAGTATCCAAGTCGTGAGACGGTGGTGTTCAAATATTTTCCCATAACTGACATGACAACAAATTGTGAAATGAAATGTCATGAGTGCTACTGTTGGTGACAAGTCAAGAGCCCCTAATTTAAATATGGGAGTCAAATAGTTAACAAATTTGATCAGTATCCTTGCTTTTAATTCAAAAATTGGAGTCATCTAATTAAAATTTTATCAGTACCTTTACCTCGGACTTGCGAAGTATACAAAACATTGAGATGAAGGCATTTGTTTTTCCTTTCCATGGTGTCCTTGTGGGTCATACTGCCCAAGATTACTATAGATTCTTTCTATTGTTTATGAAGTTGTCACTTGACTCACTTTTCAGGTAATGTGTTGAATGGAATGAAATTGAGTTAGTCAAGAAATATTCTCTGTTGTTAGAGTATCTCTCATCATCTTATATAACTTTTTAGTGCATCCAGCATCTGTTTATTCTCCCTTTTTTTCTAAATATCTGTTTATTTTCTATTCAACATTCTAAACTTGCCACCTGTTCTTTCCTTCATACTAGGACACATGTCTGGACAACTTCTGAGAAGACATGAAATGAGAAGGACACAAATGGTTTATCTCATAGAAGCCGAGTCCTAAATTCATGGTGGGACATGACCCGATTCACCAACTCTAGTGACCTGGTTTAGAATTCAAAACAGTTAAAATTTTGACAAACAATAGCTATTTTTCAATAGAATAAACAAACAAAAACTAAAAAATTAAGCAAATAAGGTATGCATACCTTAATTGCAACATAATTCTCAAGGTTCTTTTATAGTTATTAATATCAACTAGCAAATTTCTTAAATTTGACTATTGTAATACCTCTAACTCCTACATTTAAGAGCTAAACCTAATAGGCATCACACTCCCTAGCGTACTATATATATCCAGTGTTGTAAATAGCGGCCAATAGCGGGGCTATAGCGGCGCGAATAGCGTTCGCGGCCCTTCAGCGCTACGCATAGGGGTTTCGCGGCTGGCTTAAGCGGGAAAATCCGCTATTCATTTGAATAGCGGGTAAAAGCGGATTTTAGCGGGTTAAAAGCGGGTTTTCACGGTTAAAAGCGGATTTTCGCGGTTAAAAGCGGCTAAACCCTCTATCACACATATTATGATGCTATATTTCTTGAATTTCTTCATAGTTTCATTCATACAACAAGCCTACTAATTGTTATTTACTGATAATACAAGAAATTTACAACTAATTGAATTTTTAGATTTTTTTATGAATTTTCTTATTATTTAGGATATTTAAATATATTTAAATTTAACCGCTATTTGACTGTGCGCTATTTGCCGCGATTTCGCCGCAATAGCCCAATATAGCCTTAACGGTACCTCGCCGCGACGCGCCGCGATCCGCTATCAGCAACCTTGTATATATCTACGCCTCTTACCTAATTCCCAATGAGTGGCGAACCCAAAGTTTTCAGAGGTGCACACCTCACTGCACCTCATGAGCTTTCCTACGCGTGAGAATAGTGAAGCGATCCATATTTGATGTGGCAGCGCCTTTTGTGCCTCGACATGTGCTTCACGTAGGGGCTCATGCTAGGCATAGCCTCGTATTTCTTTAACATTTCAATTGGGTCTTGATACTTGATAACCCATAACCCATATCCCAAAATGCAAAATAAAATTGTTAGGCCTTTATGATAAGCCTAATTGAGGACCATAAGTTATGGTTCAATATTAGTGTTGATTTTTTTTATTTTGAAAATTTATGAACTTCGCTCTATGTTTGATGCATTAGCATTAGAAATTAAAACCTTATTTCATAGTAGATGTTATTTATCTTAACATAATTTTATGTGAAAACAAATAAATATGTTTCTTCGTGCTTGCTTACCCATCTTGAAAAATTATATGCGGTGCGCGCATTGCTTCACTTGGGCGCACACATCGCATTGCTCCTTGCGCATTTATGCATAAAGAGACTGATGCGAAACGAAACAGGGGGTCTATCAGAATCAGCGATTTAATTTAAACAACGCACCGTTTCGTCAAAAAATCATGATATTCGGTAGGAAATTAATTCGAAACGGTTAACATGACAGATGGATTTTAACAAAATTTGTAACGATAGTCATAAACAATTCCAATCTCGAATAATTTAATCGCAATATTAATTATCATTTTCACAAGTTCTAAGATCAATATCAAAATTTAACAGTCACATGTTCAGTTACTCTCAACTCACAATATAATTTAAGCAATGAATATATGATAAGAGTTTAGAGGTAGTATACTCGTGCAATTAACTACTAAAAAATGGGATTAACAGGAAAATAGAGTGAAGAGCCTTATCTGACACCAATACAACATGGCTTAACCTCATTAAATTTCTGAAATTGGAAAAAAAAACCAGGTGAAATTCCTGCGGAAGAGCCTTTTCCTTCGATCCCCAAACCCAAGCTTATCACTGTTCGCCTCCCTCTCCAGATTAGGGCTTTTTGATGCCGTTCTTGTGATCCTTGTAGGATTGGTTGTGGGCCGTGTGGTTCTTCGACTTCTCCATTGAAACCCTGAGATGGAGATCTGAGTGTCGGAGGTGCTTGGGGCGGCGGCGGCTGTTCGACGGTGGGCTGAGGGCGGCATAACGACAACGTGGACGACGTGATGGTGCGGGCGAAGGACAGAATGTCGTCGGTGAGACTGTTCGGAGGTGACGGAGGTCAGGGGTCGTCAGGACTGTTGGAAGGTGGAGGAGAGTAGGGGTGTCAGCAGGGGAAGGAGTTGGGTTTGTGGGGGCTGCTCAGTTAGGAAGAGAGCAGGAGGGTGTTGATCAGATCTGTGAAGGAGGAAGGAGAACCGGTGGTGGGGTTCATGGTGGTTGTAGGGAGTTTGGTGATCTGTTTAGGCGAGGGAGATGATGGTTGCAGGAGGGGAGGCGAGGTTTGTGGGGAAGAGGGGATGGCCGGCGATGGGCGGTGGCTTGGTGGCTTGCGTCAGGTGAAAGGAAAAGAAGAGGGGATGGCCGGCGATGGGCGGTGGCTTGGTGGCTTGCGTCAGGTGAAAGGAAAAGTTGGGCGTTTGGTTGTTGTTGGGCAGAGGAGGAAGAAGAAAGCGGTTGATAGAAACAAACGAGAAGAAAAAAATATTAGCCTAGGGTTTCACAACCAATGGTTTCACACCACAGTTGAGCAAAATAATTTTCATTTTCATCTTTTTTTTTAAATCTCAAATCTGATTACAAATAGTGTTTAAATAGAAAACCAAATTACAAATTTTTTTCAATTCCCTCAAATCACTTAACTACTAAATTTGATCAAAATTCAAAATTCAAAAAAGATTCAAAATTCAAAAATTAAATCCTACCAAAATAGAAAATCCCTCAAATCTTTCACAATTATTAAAATTCAAATACAAAATAGAAATGTCATTATTGTCCTCATCAGAGACTTTGCGCCCCGCATTGCGCCTCGCACGTTGATAACACTGGGCGTATCACGCTTCTGTACCCATCCTGTGAGCTAGAACGAATCACATTCCATGCAGCTATGGATTATTTCGAAATGTTAAGCGTCAGAGGTGTTAACAATAAGTAAAACGTATGGACAGTGTGATGACTTAAAAATTAGAAATTTTAAATGGACTAAAAATAAAAAGCGACGTCTTTACTGTTTAGTCTGTTGATTCCACTCGTTCCTTAGGCATGATTGGCTACTTGAGAAAATTTCTTATTTTCTTATGTCAATTATAAACATGCTACATGATATGAATCAAAATTTAACCTTTAAAGTTCGAAGATGTTAAGGACCTAAGGTAGATATCTAGCATAACTAATGGAGTACATGGTTAGGAATAAATATGCTCAAGACGGTTTAACATATGGTATTGTTCCAATTGAAGATTATATAGGAAGATGATGCAAGCATTACATTACATGGAAGATAAGGACTACTCTAAGATGAGGTATTCAGTTTTATTAGAAAACAAGTTAAGGCCCTAGTTAAGTTATGGAAGTTATAAGAAGCGAATTTACAATTTACTATAACATCAGATGGTTTCAGTATAGGATTGCTTGGAAGACAGATTAATTAGGTTGACTCCACAATTTCGGATGGATATGACGGTATCATGTTTGGGTGACATTAAGAGGGGCAATTTTTGACCCAACCAATGGACCCGATCCGACCCGCTATTAATGAGTACGGGTCAACATATGTGGGTCAGGTCTTACATGGGTCAAGCCGAACTACCCATTCATTAATCGGGTCAATTCTGATCGACACGAGATGATCCATTTAACCCATGTAGTAACCCATTTAATTAACCCATTTAGTAACCCATATAATCCATTTAGTAACCTTGTAGCAGTAACAGCTATTCTTCTCCATCCCCTTCGTTTTCTCTTGTAGAACTCCTCGATTGCGTCTCTTCAATGAAGCTCGAGGGTGAAGCACATGCTCCGATCACTTTGGTGAGTAGGGCTTGGAATATGGCCTCCATGATTGAAATTGGATGGGTTAGGGGGGTTTGGGGTTAGGGTCTCGGATAGGAGCAGATATGGGGATTCTGTCGGGTGGGACAGAGATGAAGCAATGGATATTAAGAAGCTACTGACATTCCTATCACTTTCCCAGCATAAAGCTGTCTCTTGTCAAATAATCCGTTAATATAGTAGATTCTTATTGACATGTGTGCAGATCACATGAATTGTAAATTGATTTGTTTAATTGGATTAATGACATAGTTCAGTGTGTATGCAAACTTTTCATATTGTTGTGCAAAGTTGGAAAGAAAATTAATGATCAGAAAATTTTTATTCATCTATTTATTTATTTATTTTGAGAAAGAAAATTAGTTTGGGTCAGCTTATGTTTTTGACCCCGCCTGATAGCGACCAGCCCTGGTCTGTTAGACACCCCTAGGTGGTGACATTGACACCCTATAGATTAATCTTGCGCAAAGCAGAATTTGAGCATCATCATTATTTTACTTTAGTATATCCGTGGTTTGGGAGGTTAGCATTCAGGTGTTAGTACTTCCATAATTCTGTCTTTAGCCGAGTTCATGTGGCCATTACTCTTATGACTGCTACAGTGATATTGGTATGAAATAGCGGTCAAAACATGCATGAATAAAAATAAAGTATCCTTCCATTTTGGAATGTTTTACGGTAAAAACTACCTCTTGAGTACTCATTAAATGATTCATATTGTGTGTTGCAGAACGAGGAAGAAAAGAAGAAACTGGCTTTTATATTGTCATACATAACTCATCTTGTCAACTTCTGGAAATTAGCAGCATCTAATCGTCGTTCCAAATCTCAAAGTAGTATTTCCGGTGATGCTATAAACAAGTACAAAATTCCTCGCATCGTCTATCAGAAATTTGAGCAATTGTTTATCGATCCAGCATCAAAAGTGCTATCATCATATAAGAAGGAACTCGTCATCGGCTACATCTTAGTGCTCACACTCTTTGCAGACAAGTTTTCAAGCAGCCCATCTGACATTTCAAAGGATTTGGGGAATCTTAGTGCTCACACTCTTTGCAGACAAGTTTTCAAGCAGCCCATCTGACATTTCAAAGGATTTGGGGATGTCTGTTTCAGATTTGAGGTTATGACAAGTTTTCAAGCAGCCCATCTGACATTTCAAAGGATTTGGGGATGTCTGTTTCAGATTTGAGGTTATACTACACGCAGTTGGGGTGTAAACTGTCAAACAAAGCCAGGTTCGGAGAAGTATTCTGGACCCTTCCTGTTCCTCTCAAGTCTGCTGATATGAAGAAAAGGAGAAAAAGGAAGGCATAATTTAGTTAAGCATGTTCGTTTTACTTCCTAAGACCCTTGTCTGTGATTTTGGTGTAGACTATATATATTGGCTATCTTTTTGTTTATTTATATTTTTTTGTTTCCATTATCAAACTATTTTGGGGTAAAATCT